GGGGCTGGCCAAGGAACAGTGCTGCAGGGGGGAGGTGGGTGAGCTCGCTGCGGGTGAGGTGGGGAGGAAGCTGGCGGAGCACAGCCAGCGCGGCCTGGGGACGTCTGTTAGCGTTATCCTTCCTCTTCCAAAGGCAGAACGCTTCAGTGAGGGGATGAGTGAAAAATGCACCAAGGTTCTACTTAAGCAGAAGGAAAGGAGGTTACCTAAAATCTTGGTCTTTTTAGTGACCTTTGCACGTTTTATGACAGAGGGTGATACTCAGATGTCACTGGCATTGATGGCTTACTGAGTACGTGAGGATTTCATCTGTTCTGGGTAACTATACCTTGCATGCATGCATTTTTGCATCTGTTAAGATCATAAACAACTGGAAGAGGCAGCATAAAAAAAACCCACCAAACTTGGGCCAGGCCTTAACACTGTCACTGAAAATCATTCAGGACTCAGAGCTTAAAGCATTTTCTCCCATGAATACACCTTTTAGAACATACACTAGCCTTGTGTAAATGTTGCTGAGCAAGTAAAGAGATTCTGCCTTCCTCTTACTACACTGAAAAACTCATAAATTAAGTACAGGTGAGCACTTTCGGTGATACACGGTCTTCATTGCCATCCCCATGAACACACATTGTTCCTGAAATAATAACTGAATTTTAAAATTTAAAAAAACTCCACAAACTGGGGTTTGATCAATTATCATAGTAAGCATTGTTTACTTTTCTGTCCTCTCAACTGATCTTACAAATGCAGAATTATACCATGCAGTACAAGTTACTGCTTTCCTCTGCCAAGTTTGCATATTACTTATGAGAAGCTTGTCACTTTTTCGCCTCTTCAGGAACATCCCTATGCATTTCATTTCTCATCTCTTTCTTGGATTAATTCTTGCTGCTTCTCCATTGAGGAGGTTTTTCATATTGCATAATCCTGTCCCTATTCCCAATGCCTGACAGTTCTTTTTCTAACCAATCTTTATCTCAGTCGATTGTCTGTGATAACTGGGAAGTGCTGCTTCGCTTTGGCACATAACCTTTCAGACTGACATTAGGGCAGTGAACCTGAAGTAAGCCCTAAAAAGCGTCGGTATCCCTGAGTGAAATGTTAACAATGCTTAAAAGTAGAAGTTGTTTATGTGTGTTGTGTATATATTAAAAAAAACCAAAACAAAACCAGGCTTGGTTTTAACTACCAGGGTTTCCTTTCTGAGAATATGGATTCTGGAGATAATGAATCTCACAGGATCAGCTTTGCAGTGTGCAGATTTCCATCCCCCAGGAAAGCATTTCAGAGATTTCCTGTCTCTCTGATAAGAATAACTTGTCTGCCAGGATGAAAATATGGGCCTGGGAAAAAAAAAAAAAAAAAAAAAAAAAGTACACTTGGCTTAGCTTTTCACAACTGAATTTTATTCATCTTCATAAGCAGGCAGTAAGGAGTACAAAAAGATAAATAACCCACAGTTTGTACACATTCCCAAATGCTCTTAACTTCAGTGGCTCTCCCAGAGATTTATTCAGTTCTAGATGACAGGACAATGCTACACCTGTTAATGTGGTTCTGACTCACACTTGGGGGAGGATTTAGCTATGGTTACTGAAACCATTACCATCCCTGTTGCCTCACCTCCCCTCCAGAAGCAATCACTACAGCCAAGGACAGCCAAGCTGGCTGTGTGTCCGAGCCATGTTTTTTTACCTGTAATGCTGAACTGCAGCCATGATGGAGAAGCTGTAGGCTATGGCAGTGCAGCTGCCTGGCTGGAAGGTCAATCATTTCCACCTTCCCAGCTGAAACTGACAGGAGACATAAGAGTGAGCAGGTGGGTATCCTGATGATACAGGAGGGAGATTATATACATAGGGAGAAGAGGGAATTAGTGAAAAAGGAAAACAGAAGGTGATTCATGGAGGGAGGGTATTCTTTGATCAGATACTGGCTCCATCAAACTACATCTGGAAGTCCCAATGATTTTTGAACAAATGTACTTGAACACCAGCTGCCAACTCTAAGGAGACTAACTTCCAAGCATGTTCCATTTGTGCAAAACCACGTCTCAATGGCCCTGCCATTCACAAAGGAAGACAGGTTTTGTAGGGCAAGTGTATATTCCAAATACCATTTTCCACAGAAATTTGACAAATGAAGAAAACATTTTAATGCTCTCATCCAACTGTCTTTTTTTTTTAGCCTTAATTGCAGTTCCAGATCCACCCATCGTGTTGCTGAATCCACTACAGTAAGGGTGTTCTGCTGGCCTGCAGACTGGCTGTTATTCTTCTTCACCTTGAATTAAGGGCTTAATTCGTTAATGCTTCAGAAAGTCCCAGGTCCAGGACTCTATTCAGACAGTTGAAATAATACGTACATGACAAGGCAGTACTGACTGCGACTATCTGAGATCAACAATATGTGGAGAATACAGGTCAGTGTTTCAGTATGAGAACCTACAAAAACTATTTCTGTGAAAGTTACAGAAAAGGACACTGAAAACTTCAGTGGCTTCTGGAGGTAACTATGAGACATTTAAATTTAGGTTTAGTTACTAACGCATTAAACCATTTTGTTCCACCTTCAAAGCAAATCTTATGTACTATAGCAGAGGCATTCTGAGACCTCCGTGATGCCAAAAGATATAGCTCATTTTAAGACAGGCTTGAAAGTCCTGAGAGGTGTTGGCAGTTTATTTACACCTTTATGTGGTGGGGATCAATCAGTTTGGAACAGAAATAAAAACAATTCTATCCCAGTTGTTCCTTTCAGTTCCTGCCATTACCCAGTGCTTGTTCCAGTTTCAGAAATTAGATTATTTGGGGGCTTTTAGTGTCAGCACTGTACACAAGAACAGCTACCATGTTCCTGCCTCCCACAGTTCCTACTGACTTGGTTAATTTTATCTTAAACAACTGCCACCATGATCAAATCCATCACCACCTGAGTTTACCAGTTAGCACAGAGTTCATGACCAAAAAAATAATACGTACCTGTCAGGAAAAGGCTATTAATCCCTTAACAAGCGAAGTGACGTATCTGCCCATGCTTTCTTTGCTGCACAAACTAGTTGTACAGAAACAATTGCCAAAATATTTCAAAAGTACTCCAGTTCACCATATCACAGATTCCTTTGTGTCTCGTCTCTATTTATGCTTCTCGTCCTGAAGGCTTTTTGCCTGTCTTTATTTTGTCCTCCATTTTTCAAAAATAAAGTCCACTTAACAGCACTATAAAATTTTTGTCTTCAGTAAGTTCATTCATTCTGGAATAAATACATGTTCAACACGACTGATGTTCTTCTGATTACCTGATACAATACACAAGTAAACAAGGAAGAGGAGACACAACAATGCCGTAGCTGTGAGGAAGATGAGGAGCCCAGCAAACAAAGAAGGTTTCAGAGGTAATTGGATCAGCTTGCTTTCTGCTGGAATCATGTTCGTGAGGCTTAACATGTAACCGAGTGACCATGCTATACTGCTGTTACCAACCTGAAATAAAGACAGAAGAGTCCTATGCCCATGGGCTTTTCAGTCAAAGAAAAGGTTCCAAAAGCTCAACTGCTGATGCCAGCAACTGCCTTTTAAGTTAGCAAGGAGAAGACTTCAGTGGAGTATACAAGAAGATACAGAACCATTTTAAATTACTCTTCTTTTGTAGTTACAGAGGATGCTAATAAAATTGGTCACTGGACTAAAGAAGTGAGACACAGATATTAGATGGATTGGTGCAATGATGTGTGGCATATATGCAGACAGGCAGTTATGGGATTTTTCTGTGCAACAGGCACACTTTAAAAACCCAAAAAAATCAGCACTACTGTGCTAATTCCTCGAATTAGCCTGTCATCTTAGCCAAATCCTAGGATGTTATTTAGTTCAAGCAAACAAAAAAAAACCCCACAGAGTCCCACCAACATGGACAAAGAGGAGGCCATGGTAAAGTCCCCAAAACAGGAACTCCATTTACCATCTTTTGCTCCGTGGTTGGTTTTGTACCTGCAAATGAACCAGCACTAGGCTCTTCCATTTAAAAAATAAACATGTGGAAAATTACTTAGGAACAGGTAAACAACAGCAGAGGGGGTATGTTTCTATTTGCTCCACAGTCCTGTTCCTTTGCTGCCTTGCCTAACTTCTAATTTTAGCAGTTTTATCAATTTTCCACTGACTTTTTCATTAAATCGTCATCCTGCCATTTGATAAGCACTGGATCAAAGGGAAAAGATAGTGTCCCTTGTCCTCCTCTCACATTCCCAGGCTCCAATAATGGTTTGCCTATTTATATAAAACATATAAATGCACATCACTGCCTCCTGCAAATCAAACTACAAATTAAAAAATTAAAATCTACTGTTAAGCAGAGTGAAAAATAAGGCGGGGGTGGGACGGGGGTGGCATTTCAAGATAAATCAGTGGAACTCATTGAACACGGGCTAGCCTAGAGGGCCAGCTACAAGATATGTATTTGGTTTACACTGTAGCACAGGTTGCTTTCTTTTTCAAAAGGCCTCCATCACTTTCAAACAACTCCAGGTAGTTCTGAGGTATACTATAGGACAGACAAAGCTGAAGTTGCATTCTTCTACAAGCAACCAGCTCTGCCAAACTCATTTGGCTTTCCATCTTTGTTACAGGTCATACTACTCTGCTATTACAGAGATGAGTTTCCCTGAATGGCTATCCCTATGTATTATGCTTAAATTTGGGAAACCAAATTTGGGAAACCAAACCTCCTCGGTTATTCTTGGGTGAAGTTGAGGGATGAACCTTAATAAATGATGTCTTTCATGAACAATTTTAAGCAGTCAGACACTGGTTGTAGGAGACCATAAGGGCCTATAACATTTAGTTCTTTTTGTACTTGTGTATATCCTAATACCTGTAACTGACAAAAAGAAGGCTACAGCAATAGGAACTGGAATACAACAGGTGAGCAAAGAGGTAAGATGGATCAAGGTGGTTTTTCCATTGCTAAGACGGGAAAAAAAAAATCTCATTATGAGGTTTAGAACTTCTACAAACCATCTAGCTCTGAATTTTGCCCAGATCTTAGCACTGGTTTAAGGTTCTTTTCACTCGTGTTCACTAATCAAAAGAAAATACACTTCTAGCACAGGCGAAAAAATCCATCCTCCACTCCTGGAGGCAACTGTGCTGTTATCTCTGCGGTAGCTTAACCTGACCAGTTACACTAGATCTTATAATTTTTAGTCCTTTGAGTGGCAAATTTAATTAAGAGAATATAGTCCTTCTTTCTGAAGTTTCATGATTACTCTAGTGCAAGATCTATGAAACAGAGGTGTTAATTTCAAATAAGCCTTCTGGGTTTTCATTTTGCTCAGTATCTTTATAGTCTTGGCTAAATACAGAAAAATTTGCTGTGTTGGTCTGCTCCTATCTGCTGGCGACAATACAAGATACATGTAAATACCAAGACAAATCCACCACCCAACCAGGTCCAGATTAAGATCCCAAAGAAAGCTCTCTGCTGATTTCCCAGAAGGGCTAAACTCTGCACACTCCTCCAGAGCTGCTAATGGTTGTCCACCAAAGGACAAAATAAGGCAAGAAAATCCTTAGATAGTGGCCATGCATTCTAATTTGGAAGCAAATATTTCTTAGCCCTATCTTTAGAACAGGTGTATATAAGTTTCTTCCAAGTACTCTGTTGTTTAGGAGAAAAACTGATGTCAGGGAAGAGAGAAATGCAGCTATTACACAAATGATGTAAGCCTTCTCTCTCTGCCAACTGAAAGCCAATACCCCATCAATATACATTCTTATTCCAGAGAACCAGATTATGGCACAGATGTATGTGCCAGCTGAGGATGAAAGCTGACCTAGTTGCTTCATCACCACTCACCGACTACAAACCAGCTCTGCTGGTTCCCCAGGGCTCTGTCTAGCTCAGCAGGGCTAGCTCAAACTGACCTTGACTGGCGAGGTGTTTCAGGCAAATCATTCCCTAGAGCAAGCCACTACTTCAACAAACTGAGGCAAGGTTTAAAACACAATTATTTGATCCCTTCTTAAAGGTCTTTAAAAGAATCTAGGCAGCATCTGCAAGTGATACTGCAACCCCTGGAACCAGGCTGAAATTGCTACTGAGGCTTGAAAAGTGGCTTTGTCTTATGCCAAACACTTGACAATCGTTTACAAAGTTTACGACCATCATATTTTTGTAGGCTGATGCATCTTCTATCTCCTTCTAAACTTCTTTGGATTAAAATAACAGTAAGAAGAAAATATTATTACTCACCTCCTTTTGAAAATGTATCTGTGGCCAAGTTTCTGCATCAAAGTTGTAACCATGTACCAGCAAGTAATAGATGAAATTAGCTGAAAAACAGTAGGATCTAGCATATATTTCTTCAAATTTAGGCAGCATAAACCGGAGCTGAAAGCAAAACATTTTTTAAAAACACGTAAATTAACAAAAGTAAATCCTTTCAGTTTTTATAATTAAGAATACTCTGGATTCTAATTAGAATTTATTAGCATTTTTCAGAAACACCAAGTAAAGTTGTGGACAACTAGCTATGGAGATTTAGAAAGACTCTGACAGTGAAATAGCTTGTATGGCAAAATATGAAAATAAATATAAAACTGCACATAAAAGATTAAGGATGTTATGGTTCCTAAATTTTCCATGTCATCTTTACAGCATGGTTAAAACTGTGGTAGTAAACCACGGCCACAAATCTCTCAGAGGATCACAGGCAGAGTCAACCTTGCATGTGGCAGTCAGCTATCAAGTGACGATGGTTAAGTTACTATAGGAAATGGTAGCAACAAAATGAATGCAAACAGGGAGCCAGTTTGGTGACCTGAGGTACCTTCCTGCAAAACAGGTCAGTCAATTTACTCTAGGTTCACACTAACAAAGCTGAGATCAGAACAGGGCATAAGGAATGTTGCAGGACTAGAAAAATACGGAGTTAAACCTCTGTTAAATAAAGATGTCTGCAAGTGACATAGAACATGTTATATCACAAGACCACTCTTTGGATGCCAATTGTAACCTGGGGTGCTCATTCAGATCATGAATATCAGCTGGAATTCACAGACCCAAGCAAAGTGCTTTGATCTGCCAGTCTGACCTGAAAGTGCTGTTGCGAGTCCCAGTGGTTACAAGAAGATCGGGACCTGAGTATCACAGCATACATACACAGACAGATCAAGCAAGCTGGAAAAATGAAGAACTGCTGAGTGAAAGCTGTTCGGAAAAGGTCATGGATTGTCAGTTGGGGATAATTTGCTTTACTTGCTTTTCTTAGCATAAATAATAGCAAAAAAATGAGACCATAAATTTCCCTCAGATGAACCCTGCAAGGACAATAATGAAAAAAAATCAATTTGCCTTCCATCATTAAAAAATTTTCAGGCAGCAGTGCTAATTCCACTTCATCAGCTCCAACTACACTGCATCAGCTCTGTGCTACTCTGCACTCAAAGCTCAAAGATGAAAAGAGGAAAACGCACACACTGCTTGGCCACATTTCAACATAGGCTGGAAACTCAGCTTAGAATCACAGGGAATTAAGTTTCCAAACCTAGTCAGAGTTTTAAGCATGCTAGAAGTACTGCATGGTTTGAAGCACGGTGGGAAAACAAATGTTGAGGTTGATACAGATCTTCTGAAAAGTTCTGAATACTTGTCCAGTCTGTATTCTTTTTATTTGTCCCTTTTATAGATACAAAAGAAAAACAAACCCAAAAAACCTCCAAGCAACCCACTTACCTGTGCCCAGCTCTGTGAACAGAACAACCACATACTTGAATTGAAGTCAGCTAGGGAGAAATGCCCAGATAAATTCAGAGCATTAATTGTATAGTAGAATCCCGAGAAAGCCTATAGAAAAGGAGATGACAGGCTTGTCACTTTCAGAACTACAGAAATCAAAAGCAAGGATGTTCAAAAAGAAATGCTGTGTTTACAAACCTACCACAAAATTCCCTTTGACTTTTGGCTGACGGATTCCATTAAATGGACACTCTTCTTTGTCTCTGCAAGCAGTGAAGTTAAACAATAAGGAAACCATCTCCTGGCACAGACCTGGGTCTCCTGTTCCATGGAAGTTCACAAGCTGGTTTGGGTAGTAATTTGCTGGTCTCAGAGACTGTGTACAAAGGCTGCCAGAAAAGTACTTAATTGGTAATGCAGTATTATAATTCTGAGGGTAACATGGATTATCCACATTGGAACTGGTGTTTGATTTCTGGAAAACAAACAAACAAAAAATACAAACAATAAAGGCTACTCAAAACTAACAAAGACCTAATTTTACATTAACTATGGGAATCTTTTTAGGCCACGTATGTATGTATTTTTGATCTCTGTCACGGCTGATCAGTACAACATTGCTGATCATTGTAATTCATAGAAACTCCTTTCTCAGAAAAGCATTGGCAAGATCATGAAAACACTTACAAGACTAGTTGTGCCTTTTTGTCAAATGGTACAAAACTCTCACTGATTTTTAACAGGTATGAAGATCTTTGTATGAAACAAATAAGCACAACAGAGCTCTTATTGGAGTCTCCAAACTCCACCAAAGGGAAGCGAACACAATCCCAAGAAGCTGCTGAGAAAATTACTGAACACCTGAAAGAGCAACACAGCAAAGGGTCTTAAACAGACCTGGAGCAGCAACGCTAAAAGCCTTTTCTCAGCTTCATCTCTCCCATAGCACTGGAAGCTGTGAGTGTAGACATTGTAGTTGTAACCATACAACTTCACTGGCAAGATGCTATTGAAATTCTCCTGAGAGTCCTCTGGGATGAACGAAATTTGAGTGGAAGCTCCTCCGAGATCCAGTGCACCCACAGTCTCTTTTCCGTAAGGATGGACCCATGTCCTCCAAAGGTTTCTCTACATGTAAAAATAAAACCACAGCTAATTAGAAACATCATCTGCTTGTTCTCCCTTCAAGCTTTTCTACTCTTTACTTAACTTTTTGAGATTCCCTTTGCAAAAAATCCTAGCTCTGAGGAGAACATGCAGATATTTTTTACATAAGGGGCATGTACTTTTCACAGAGTGAAATGATCTTGAAAGAGGGAAAAAAGAATGCAGCATAGCTTTCAACTCAGAGTACAGCACAGTGATCAAAGCACAGGACTAGCCAGATCAATATCTGTACTGAAGTCCAGGTACCCATGAGATCTTGAACAAATCGGGATAGAAACAGTAGGAAGATTTGCTTGTTTCAGGTCAAGAAGAATTATTAAAGGAATAGAATATTAAGAGATCACACAGAAAAAGAGCGTGAAAATAGAGTGAAAAACACAGAAAAGTCAAATGAAAGCTTCAAAGTCAAAAGAACAAGGGCCCCTAATCTGCACATTTCCTTCACTGAAACTGCAGTGGCAATAAATCTGATCCATTCCACTGACATTTTTCCCTATTACCCAAAACATGCCCCAAATTCTGTATTTGATCTACACAGTCACAGCGCAGAATATGGATTTAGTATGATTCTCTATCTCAGTATTTACTGTAGTATTATTTACTGAGCATGATGATCTGAATGTATACACAAGACAGGAAAAGAAACTTTATGGGCTAGCAAATACACTCGCAAGCAGATTCTATAGTGAAAGATTCCCATTAACAGTCCCTAGCAGAATTTGACTCTTAGCCCATTTGTCACAAGAATGCTGAAAAGTTTCTCTCTCCTTCTAGTGATACTCCACACGTAGGTCTCCGCACAACTCTCTGTACTGAACTGGCTTCACAGCATTTTGCAGTCCCTTCAGTAGTCCTTATGAATATGGAATTTGATATTTGGATTATTAAAATTCATGACTGACACCACCCTAAAGTACATTACATCATTTTTGTTGCATGAAATGCACACAAGGAGAAAAACTCTTCCAGAACATTTAATTCCAATACCATTTTTCTTAACTTTACAAGAGTCAACAACATGTTTACCATGAGCTATCACTCAGATCACCAACAACTAATTCCTCCTTATTAGTTGCCATGATCTAACAGGAACCGTTCAACCAGAACAGCTAACAATACTCAGGGGTTTGGTTGAAATTTCTTTCAACCTAGCAAGACTATCTGGAAAAAGTGCAGTTAATGCTAAGGGCAGCACACAGATGCCATGAATGCAGATGAGCAGTTGCTGATCATCTTGGTACAGCTTTTACTGGGAACAAAATTATATGGAATATCTACATAGAAAAAGGGATTTTCCAACACATTTGACTCCCTTTCTGTTATGAAGTTCCTGCCTGACACTATTTTGACTTAAAGGAGAGCAGAAGTATCTTTCTATTGGTATCGCTTTGTCCGCATAAGACATGACAGTTGGTATCAGAGCCCACTGCTCACAGCCTGCAGTTTTGTGTATGTATGAGAGTGATTTCTGGCTCAGCTGAGGCATATTTGGTCACATCAACTCAACCACCTTACTGCTTCAGTCTTGTCTGCTTAAGACAAGCAAGCCAACACTGCCAGACAATTTGGAGACCCTTAAGCTGATCCTTCACTAGTAGAGCTGCAGGGACTGCAACCACCTGAGGAAGTCACAGAAAAGCAGAAAACACCTTTACCTGGCACCACTGCGAAGACAATCAACACGTGTGACACTTAACATACCAATGCATTTAAGAGAAACGCAACTTCTGTTTCTAGGTAGGGTATCCAATGCCATTTAGGGAAGAGCCCTGTTTTGTGGATCAACAATTCTGCCTTTGCCATATCACATTCTTGTAACATCATATTCTTTGATCTATGTTTGCTTTGTTCTATTACTGCCACAAAAAGACCCTGTTACATATTTCAAAGCAAAATGGAAGTTACAGATATGATGTCTTTACAGGCATGTCCTCTCAAACTTCTCATTTACAAGAAAGAGACAGTGAAAAGAAAAGCATGCAGTTTTTTCCACACACCTCTAAGAAATTGCCCATTAAATAGTTGGCTGTTATCCATCCATACACCCCTTCCTCTGGCCCAGTTATGATTTGCGCACCCCTAAATTCAAAAGGTTGTGCTCTGAAGTAGTTTTGAATGCTTGCAAGGACTTCATTGGCTGCCGTTTCATTTTGCAACCTAAGCAATTCACAAAATATGAGACACTGAGCACCTGGAAAGGCAATTTCATGTTCATTCTTCACTGACTAGCAACTCAAGAAAACTCCTACAATCACCTAATTAAATATACACATTGTTTCCCTAAAGGGGAAGCTTATGACAGGGAACAGCCAGGCATCCAGCATAATTTCAGCAAGCAATTTCCACACTATGAGCAAACTTAACTCTTCATCACACAAGTTCATGGGTGTTTTGTTTCTTATATATACTTTTCTTTTCAGTGAACTGAGTGCTTATATGACAGCTGTTGGTTAGAACAGTCCTGGAGCCTTTCTTCTCACTCAGTTTAGCCACAGAACAAACAAAAAAAGCCAGTTTGTGCTAGGGCTAAAGCCACAGACAGACCCCAAAAGCCATATTACACCACATTTACACTCAGAAAATTCTGCAGTGTCTAGCTTTAATTTGCCTTTGCTGCCCACAGATCCGCACAAACATTATCCATTTACAAAACACTGAGTTAAGACAGCTATGGAACAGAAAATTAAACTCTTGCCTTCTCCAGAGTAAAGTAAGCACTTCTTTTAAATGTGGCACAACAGAGGATTCTCATACAGCCTTGCTTTCCCTCTCAAAAAAGTTAATTAAATTAAATTGGCTGGGCTCCATTTCCTTTTGAGATGGACAATTTCCAATGAGTAAAAATGTGCCCAATACATTTTTCACATTCTGTTTTCACAGACTGCTATGCTACTAAGCATACAGAGGAGTTCAAATTTCTTCCTTACCTCAGTAGTCTCATGCCAGCTGTAGCCCCTATATAAACAGAAGTATTTTTATGCAGATGAACTGGTATTCTCTCCTTGACTTTATTCAGACAGTTATCCAAGGGTCTAGCAAGAGCTTCAGGGTTACTCTCGTAGCTGGATATACCAGGCCCTAAAAGAGAACAAGTAGATTGTTTTAATTCTGCTTTGCCACTACAAGTTATCCCCAATTAGCAAACAGGTGCTAAGAGGAAGAGATTTCTCCCTTCCCTCTTGTAACTGCAAACAAGGATAAGATGGTTGAACACTATGAGTGCTTAAGGAATAAGCAATGTAGTGACTCTCTCAGATGTGTGAGACAGTGAAGACACTTGCAAACTGCTCACCTTATTTCTGCGTGTACACATATACACCTATAGTACCATACCTTAAGGAAGATACACAGTATAACCACATAATAACACAGTGACAGCAGCATATTCATGAGAAAAATAGGTTTACTCATTACAGATGCTGTAGAAAATAGCATGACTAATGGATGTAACATTTTCTGATCTGCTAAAGAATAGAAAATCCCTCCTTCCACAACCTAAGACAAAGATTTCCTAATCTGGTTTGGCGCAACTGTCGTGGGCACCATGGCACCTCTACAGCTTACTGCTCTCAGCTGAAAATACAGAAGCTTCTGCAAGAAACTGCTGCTAAAATTTCAAGATGCACACAGATGGCTCCTGAAGTCACAGAGGTTGAAGTCTAGGCTGGTGCATGAACTACCAAGTATTTCACAGCTTTCCAAATTCCCAAAGTCGTCAAATAACAGGAATGAGAGTTACACCATGCTGCATGAGGCATAACGATTTGAACAACTAACACCAAAGTCTTTCCCCCCTTGCTCAACACTCCTCAACTTGTTCAGGCTCAACTTGGGTGTGAATAAAAACATTCCTCACTAAAATCCTTATCTGAGAAAGTTGCACAGAGAGAAATCCAGACATTCGCATGAAGCCATTGCCCCACAGAGAACAACTCTGCCAGAACTTGATGGAGTTCTGTAACAGCCATCTCTCTCACAACCTGATCCCAGGCTAAGCAAAAGGTGTCTCTTGCTGAGTTAAAATGAGGAACCATTTATGTTCAGACACACTGCATTGATAAAAAGAGAAGAAAAAATATGTAAGACTTTACAGACTCCACACTCCACCACTTGCTCTTCCACAGTATGAACTTAAACACAAACATTACCATATCATCATTGGATGTGCACTGCCCTGGTTTGGAGTAAGACTTTCTAAAAGTCTTAAGTCTAGCACAGGCAGGTCTGAAGCTGGAAGGAAGGCTGTTACCTGAAGCAAACAGAGCAGCAAACTGCTGTTTTACATCCTCAGCAGCTGCTCTCGCCTCACGCTCCCTTAGTGGCAGCAGCCTTCATCTCCAAGCGTTCAGGAACAGACAGAGCAGGCCACAAGGCAGTGACCATTTTGTTCTGGACAGCTGCTGGCTTTGCTGATCCTTAGAGCCTGACCAGGACAGATTAATTGCACTATATAGAAAGGGTTTTTATTTGGGGCTGGTTCCTTGGGGCAGTGGTACCAAATGAAGGCAGAAGTTAAATCATAAAAACACCACAGAGCTTACAGAATAGTTGATAATTTGACTTTCAAGTTCAGCAGGTTTGTGAAAGTCTGCCTCTCAGTATGCCCAGAACCATCCCCCAATTTAAAGTGCTTAAGGCCATGGTTAGAGGGTCACTAAAGAAACACTGACACAGGTCTTGACCACTGTCCCCACAGCTAAGTTGGGGACCTCTCCCATGAGCCCTCTGTCTCCTCCAGTGCAGAGTGACCCAAGACTGGAGCAGTGAACCCTGGTGATTTTGTACACTGGAGGGTGGGTACTTTGGTTGACCATGATTAAGGCCCCTCTGGACCTGAACAGTTCACAGCAATTTGGACTCCTGCACTTTGCATTTTTCTGTATTCCTTGGAGGTAGAATGAAATCTAAACCAATTAAAACAAATTCACAAAGTATTCCTCTGTCATTTCTGAGGAGAAGAATAACACAGTTTCTCTGTGCATTTTTCTCATACCAGAATTCCTAAAGGCAACATTCCTAATGAGTCAAGACATGAGCTAGAGGAGTATAACCCCCACCTCAGCAGGCTGGCCACCATTGCTGCAGTCTGTGAGGACACATCACCAGGCACATGACAGTGCGTTACTTCTGTGCATGTTACACTTGCTTTCCTTTCCTTTCTAAAATTGCTAAGAATGTCCACACATATATTTAATGCTGAAGACAGAAATGTTGGTGCTGTTAAGAAACCACTGCCTTCTACTCATCTCCTAGTTACTCATGGACCTTTGTGGCTACATCTCCAGCATCTATTTCCAGACACAAAGAGGGATGCAGGATTTTGCATGATCATGACTGAGAGAGAAGGAAAGGGAAAAATTCTCCTTGAACGCCGCAGTTATTATCCACAATCAACAAAATCTGCACTGAGACTTCCTGAGCTGCCCCACCTTCTCCTCTTACCTAACTTGCAAACCCAAACCAGTACACTAAACAAAGCAGTACTGTTGAAGTCAGTATCTTAGATAATCTAAAGTGCATTTAAACTCAGAGTAGCAAAACATACAAAGTTTGCCTTCCTGCAGAAATCCCTTATGGACTAGCTACTGTTTAATAATATAGATTTCTCTCCCCTGCCTGGCCCCCTGACTTCATAAAATGTGTGGAATTTTGGTATCTTTGAAAGCTTAGTCAAATGTCACTGAGATTCAAAAGCTCTTACGACGGAATCCACAACAAGCTATTAGAACACATACTTAACCATACCAGAGTGTGAGCAAAATTCAGTCTAGCCTAGCATCCCCTCTCTAGGAGGAATCAATGCAAAACCTCAGACAAAAGACAAGTGCGGAAGCCAGTGGCGCTTGTCATGGAACACCTTCTAGCAGTGCACAGTACAGGTCTTCCTGAGCCAAAGGCCAGACCTGCGTATTTGATACAACTATGACATCCTGTCAGCAACAGTTCTGCAATTTAGCTATTTTACTTTATAATTTTACTAGACACTTCCTAGTTCTGCAGTATGGAGAAGCTCTTCTTGTTCACCTTGTGCATGCCTTTCATAACTTCTCCTTGGCTACCTCTTTCCCAGCAATTACAGAACAATTCCAGATAAATGCATAAGCCTTGTTTCTCTAGGAAACCTGACTCAAACAGCAAAAGATTTCTTTTAAACATCACCAACACTTCTGGAAAATAAAAATTAATTTCTCAAACTCCTATAGCATAGCTGACACCTATATTTGCCTCAATCAAAATTAACGGCTAACATTGAACAAGGGCTAGATCCACACTCTTCTCAAAGACTTTTTATTCCAAGCTATTTTAAAATATGTTTTACATTTTCCTTTTAAAATCAATTATTTCAGGGCACAAGGACTAAACATTTACAGGGCCTGATTCTCTATAGATCAAATTCTGTCTGCACCAATCATGCAGTGCAATGGAGTAAGTCAAGTTTAGCTGCCATTTCCTCTCTCCGTTGCAGATTAGAGCACCCTGCTGTATCAGAAGGACTGATGCTGACAGATATAGATATAGTCTTAGCTGTTCTTGTTCCTCAGCACTGAAAAGGGAACACAGCAGAAAAACACAGTATAAGCTTCCAGATAACCTCTTCTTGGAGGCTAGAAAGAAACAGGGAACGTCCATCTGAGCTAACCTTTCACAATGCACTTGAAAGTTTGGCTTACTACTCCCGTGTCATTTTCTTTTTCTGCTGGCCATTCATAGACGTAGACTGTAGTCCGAGACGATCCAGCATCAAGGACTATTCCATACTGAGGAGAAAAAAATAACACATTAGATCAAGAAACCAACAGTGACAGCTTAATGGCCCATACACAGCTGTACTTCTTTGCACCTTCAAACAGTTCAGAAAATGTATGCACAGTATATTTACAAGAAAGATTAACTCTAGTGTTAGGCACTTAGGCCTGAGTCCAACAGCCATGCACAGAATGAATCTGGCTGCAAAACAAAGAACATACTACATATCTTCAATAATAATCCAGTAGGGATGGAGAATGCTCATCTCCTTTCAGTATCAGGTTCAAAATCCCCACTGACACAGAGATTACACTGTTTTAGGACCTGATTTTGCAGGATGTTCACTTCCCATTATCCCAGCTACACTCCCTGGACAGTGAAGGAGGCTTTAGATTCAAGGATGTACAAGGGATCCATAAAGCTATGAGCAAAGAGGTAAAGTATATAATAGTCCATGATGAGAATGATGTAACAAGTCTGTTTCTTTTCTAGTTGCCCCATAAACCTCTCCCTTTGAGTGGTTTAGGCAGTCCACCTGAGAGTTAACCACTGAAAACAGGCTGTGCCAGGGAGT